ACAGATAAGACACCTTACCTTTTCTTTCAAAGGGACACAAAAGTACTCTTCTGACCATTTGTCGTTGAATTTTCTACCTTCTGCATCGATCTTTTAGAACCGTTTGAAATCATTACCTGCTTTCAAACAAGATAGCATAAACTAGACGTCATTTGCGTGACTGAGACAATCACAGTAGGCAACAAAAATCCATATTAATTTATGGTAAGAATCAGTTGTAGCAGAGGCATATGTAACCTAGGCTAAAAGTAAAATGCATCGTGCAATAGATGTTGTTCATACAGGTAGCCACATAACACAACAATTCTTACGACTGCCCCCTTAATACACAGAACACATGACACAAATTACTCATAGAGAACCCCATGGATCCACTGACTGTTAGTGTTGAGAGAAAGCAGCAGAGCTAATAAGTAGAGGCTAGATTCGGGGAAGATTTTCAATATCTGATGCAAAAAGTAACCCTCAAGATTCGAACAGTAGCGAGCTGCAAGCCACTTAGAAACGTTCAGCAAGCCAGATTTGGTCCGCTGTCCGTAGTTTGCTAACCCCGGGACTAAAGTGTGCATTACTGCAAGTCGGTAACGGTAGAAATCTGTTCATATCAAATTTATTATTACCTGTAGTGTTTAATTAATCCTGTAGTTTTCTTGGCTCCAGCATCCACATTTTTAAGGTTTACAGTAAGTGTCACAAATGATCAAGAATGTTATATGTTGTTAATGATGTACTCAGCTGTCCTGGTTCAGGAATAAATCTGGATTACGTGAAAAAAAAATCCTCCTTGGACTGGACTGTGATTGCACATCTTGTAGTTGACTGTACATTCTTTTTAAAATGAATACTGTTATACTCGCTCACATAGTGAAGCCCATTTTTGTCCTGTGGTTAGTTATGTAAAGCAAAAAAGGAAAAGCAGCCTTCCTAGTCTGAAGACTGGTCTATTGCAGGTGCACAACTCCAGTCCTGGAGTGTCTCTCTGCTCTTAATGATCTACTTGAGTTGGGTATTAAGAGAACCACTCTTTTTATGTGTTTCCAGCTGTTGATGATATAAAGAGGCATAGAGATAGATAAGACTTTATTAATCCCGTAGGCGAAATTGATGTGTTACAGCAGTCCAGCCCAAGACTAGAAAAAACAGACATCAGAATAGTTCTAAAAACATAAGACAACAAAATAAATATAAAATACCTAAATAATAAATACATAGGTGTGTGCAAAATGTGATGACCATAGTCACTGTAGAAACAATAAAAATATGTGAAAAATATGCATGTTTATGGACTGACTGACTGTCCAAAAAGTACAATGGAGCAAACATGCTGTCCATAGACGAGCAAATGAAGGGGTAACAGTCCTAGCCTAGGGCAGCGTTATACACCCTGACAGCCGCTGGGAGGAAAGAGCTGTGGAAACGTTCCCTTGAACACTGTAGCTGGAGCACTCTGTTGCTAAAAGTGCACTGCTGTCCAGTAACAGTCCCATGAAGCGGATGATAGGCGTTGTTCATGATGGCTGTGAGCTTGGTCAGCATTCTCCTCTCAGCCACCACCTCCAGGGGGTCAAGACTCATCCTCACCACAGAGCCAGCCTTCTTGATAAGTTTATTGAGCCTAATTGCATCTCTTGTCATGATGGTGCTGCCCCAGCACACAACAGCATAGAAGATGGCTGCCGCCACCACTGATTCATAAAACAATGTGTAGCAGTCTTCCACACACACCAAAGGACCTGAGCCTCCTAAGAAAATAGAGTTGGCTCTGACCTTTCTTGTACAGGGCGTCAGTGTTACCAGACCACTCCAACTTATCATCCAGGTGTACCCTTAAGAACTTGTAGGACTGTAGCCCCTCTATGTCCTCATCCTGGATGGAAACAGGGTTCAGCGGAGACTTATTCCTTCAGAAGTCCAAGATCATTTCTTTGGTCTTGCTGGTGTTAACCTGGAGATGATTAAGATGACACCACTCCACAAAGTTGGTAATCAAGCTCCTATATTCCTCCTCCCTCCCCTCTCTAATACACTCCACAATTGCAGAGTCATCCAAAAACTTCTGCAGATGACATCTCTCAGAGTTGTACCTGAAGTCAGAGGTGTAAAAGGTGAACAGGAATGGTGCAAGGACAGTCCCCTGTGGAGCCCCATGACTGCTAACAATCTGTTCGGACACACAGCTCTGCAGCCGTTCATACTGTGGCCTGCAGGTCAGAAGGTCTATAATCCAGGACATCAGGGGAGTGTCCACCTGCGCCGCCCTTAGCTTATCTTTCAGTAAAGGTGGATGGATGGTGTTAAAGGCACTGGAGAAGTCAAAGAACATAACTCTCACAATGTTCCACGTCTTCTCCAAGTGAGAGTTAGCTCTGTGTAGCAGATAGATGACTGCATCCTCCACTCCCAAGTGTGGCCGGTAGGTGAACTGCAGGGGGTCCAGTGCTGTACTCACCAGGGTTCTGAGGTGGTCCAGTACAAGCCTTTCCAGAGATTTCATTAGGTGTGATGTCAGTGCCACTGGTCTGTAGTCATTCAAGACTTTAGGGTGTCCCTTTTTGGGTACTGGCACCAGGCAAGATGTCTTCCAGAGCATCGGAACCTTTTCTAATCTCAAGCTGGTTGAAGATGTACTGCAGCACTGAACCCAGTTGGTCCGCGCAGATCTTTAGCACCTTGGAGCTGACACCGTCAGGACCTGCTGCATTCCCTGCATGGAGGCTCCTCAACTCCCTTCCGACCTTGTCAGCTGTGATGGATAGGCCAAGGAGGGCAGGGGAAGATGGAGTAGGAGTGGGAGGGATCTCATGATGGGGTGACTGGGGTGAAGGCCTGTGAGGTGAGTGGACATTGGACCCTGTATCGAATCTGTTAAAGAAAAGATTCAGCTCATTGGCCCTCTCCAGGCCTCCCTCACTCTGTTGGTCACCAGACAACTTGTATCCGGAGATCTTCCTCATGTCATTCCACACTTCTCTCAGATATAGACAAAGAGACATAAAGAAACCTTCTGGAGGGTGGTTCTCGAGGGATTAGGGTCGTGCATGTAAATGATGCCATTGAAGTAGTTCATAGCAGTTTCCTCCTCCATAACGGTGTCAGTACTTGTTATTTTAAATGCCTTTCCAGTGTCCATTAAGTGCTAAAGTCCAGGTTAATCAAAAAGGTTTAAAGTTTAAATCTTTCCCTTGCTTCAGGCCAAGGAAATAGGTAAAATTGGTCAACTGTAGTTTACTCAAATACAGAGTTAAATAAGCAGTTAAGAACAGAGATAGACTGCAAATCAGGAGGACCTGGGGCCTCAAAAGACTGCAATTAAAACCTACATTAATATAGGCAACAGAGACTAACAGAGATAGATTAAACCACTTCACAATAATTGCAAAGTCCTTATTGTAGTTGTAAAAAACAAATATGCTCACAAATTAGAGCCACTGAATCAGAGAAACAGAACATTACAATCATTGTATTTCTTTTGACTTGAATTATACATACACTATCCCAGATTTACTGTATAATTTTAAATCAGTTTCAAATAGCTTTTTATCCTTTTGTTACTACTCATAGTTTCTCAAGTGAAATCCACTAAAAGTATTTTAAGCTCTGAGAGAACATTCTTCCTGTTAATTTAGTTACATTGCATTAAACCCTTTGAAAAAGAGGAAGGTGAGTTAGTTTCAGATAATGCTCTGTCCATTTAATAAGGATGTGTCAATTTGCATCTGAATTCTTTGGGACATCACTAGAGCATCAGCAATGAACAATTATTTTGGAAAATTTCAAGCCAGATTGACAGAACGCACTTAAATACAAAAATTCATTAAGTTGGCGTTTTCATTCGATTTACAGTCACCTCCAAAATTTGTTAACCTTGATGAAGATTAGCAAAAAATCCGGTATAAAATAAACAACAAAGATAAGAACCTACATTTACACTCAAAATGAAAATGAAAAAAACAAATTCTTGTATTGTAATATATGTTCAGAGCAACCAACAAATGCACGGTAAGTGCCTGCAGCTTCCTAAACAGCTTTGGCAGTTGGTTTGGATCAGGTTGCTATGGTCAGATGTGTCAAAAATAGGTCTCTTTGTCAGGAATATCAGTCTAAAAAAGGATGTTTATGCAGAAAAGAGCATCATACTTCATGTGAAACAGAATGGTGGATCTTTAATGTAATGGGGCTGTTTCGCTTCCACTTGTCCTTGGCCCTTGATAAGGTCACTGGCATTATGAACTCTACAAAGAACATTTTAGCCAAAAACCTGGTTGCCACTGCCATGGGGCTTCAAGTTGGATTTAAGTGGATCTTCCAACAAGATAATGACCACAGGCATACATCATTATCAACCAAAAAATGGTTAATTGACCTCCAACTCAACATTTTGCAATGGCCACCTCAGGCCACTTCATCCCCATTGAAAACCTGTGGTTTGAATTGTAGATAGTAGTCAATAAGCATTGCCTGAAGGATAATAAGGATTTGGAAAAATTCAGTATAGGGGAATATTCTATGATCCCCCCCCGATGTGTTCTTCAATCTAATAAGGCATTATAGAAAAAGTCTCAAATGCGCATACCTGTGCAAAGGGAGGGTGCACAACATGAACAACTGAAATCAAGGGTGCCAATAGTTGAGGCACTTATTTTTGTGAAATTAATTTCATTTGCAAAATTTGTGTTTTGTGTTGATTCCATTGAATTATTAATAAAATATATTCCATGTACTGGAAAATTACAACTAATTACAAACAATGTTTTAAAGGTGGCTAAGTAGAATCGTAGGCCAGTCTGTTTATATTTCCTCAATCTACCCTGCGTGTGTCTGCTGGGCACTAATGCAGATAAATGAGAAATTGATTCTAATGTGGGCAGATACAGTATATAACAAAAAATAGATGAACATACAGTTCATTGAGGTGACTCCCATACAAGAGCTTTACAAAATCTAGACAATACTGATATGACATTAATAAATGTAAGAAATGAAAACACTGTCTTCTCCAATTTCACTTTTGGGTTTTTTAATAAAAAAAACAACTCTAAAATTAACTCACAAATAAACCACATGTCATGTTAATCTGAAGATCACCAAAAATGGGACAGCTTCCTCTGCTTCAACAGTCATACTGGCCAACATTCTGCACCCATCTGGAGGAGTTGGGTTCCAGAGAAGCAGAGCTGCTCTTCTGAACCCCCTGTCTTTCTCAGCCTTGCCCAGCAGGCCATTGTGATCCACTGTTGACACTGGATTGTCTCTAAGTGTCTCCACACAGGCTATAGACCAGGGCTCTGCTGGGCACTGTCAGTGGATGTGTCTGCATTACCCTGTCCTGGAAAGAAGGTGCCCTCAACAGGCTGAGGGGCACTCGGATCAGGAAGGGAGGCTGCCTCAGAAGCTTGTGCCATCTCTTTCGCCTTGGTCTCGTATTCCGACACTCTCCGCTGCACGATACCGGGCATCACCTGAAGGTAGGCTCCCATGAGGCGGTGATTGGAGCGAATCAGCTTGCCAGCACAGCTGTCCAGACAGCGCTCCTGGGAAAGTTCAGACAATCAGATTCTGGCACCAATCACCTGGCCTGCTCTCACAACCACTTTCTAATATTTGCGTTGTCTGAATCTCTTTCTGAACCGTGTCCTTTCAGATCTCAATAATGTCTTCACGTTTCACAAGCTTAGACCAACTGTTGACATCTGAAATGACACCTGAAGGAGAATATTCTTTAATATTTCCTTGTAATACAAAATGCTGGTAGTCTGGGTCATAGCACCATATCTCTGAGTGAACAGTCATTTAGTGTGTACTCTTTCTCATGCCCTCACATCTAACAAAGTCAGGTGCAGTTTGTCACACCTTCAAATGTCAGTAAGATTAACAGTAAATGCAATTAAAACAAAAGCTACCCATTAGGTACTGCAATATCACAATAAATGATCATGAATATGCAATCATCATATTTACAAAACACATCACACTTTGTAAATTCACATTTACAAAACAATAAGGACAATTCATTTTTAAATAGTGTTCCTTTAATAATTTGAAAGCAATATTTGCAATGATTAATACTTAGATTTCTCCTCAAAATGTGAAGATGGGAGAAGAGATCACATACAGTACAGTATAGTACACATAAACCACCCAATTCCAGAGAATATCGTACTGATTGTAGAATTTGTAATTTGTAATAACCTCAGAAAAATAAGTGCATTAAAATTATATGTACTACAATTTTTTAAATGTACAGATGTATCTCATAGCAGACCAATCTGAACTGCAGAGAAGAGCTAATGTCAAGGGTTCGGTGACCCCTAAATGCATCTGTAGACAGGCAAGAGATTTATCATACACAATATCCCATTTATTCACAGTATTTCAATCTGTCTTTCACTACAGGTAGCCACATAACACAACTGTTACGACTGCCCCCTTAATAATGCACAGAACACATGACAGAAGTTACTCATAGAGAACCCCATAGACCCAGTTACCAGAACCAAATGTTCCAAAATAACTGTCCAGCATTGCTGCTCCCCAAAACTATCTCTGGTCGGTGACTTCGTGTTCCTCTTGGGCAGCAGCAAAAAAACTGTATAGTTTCAGACATCCCGAACAATGTTTCTTGCTATTCCTATTTTATTTCTCACACAATAAACGCACAGTGAAATAATCCTTCCTCACTCACCAACCTTACCTCATCCATTGTGAGTGTCCTGTAGTTCAAATTACTTGTGCAACGCTGGAAGCAGATTTCTGTCATCTTGTTATAGACAAGGAGAAAATCCCGTAGCTAAAACGAAATACAGATTTGACTTACTTTTCCATCCCGTCCTCAGTATTGTTCAGAAAAGGATCGAAAGTCAGTCATCCTGATTTAATGTACCAGCACCCCCCGAGTGACACAGCAGAGGTCAACACAAGTTGCCTACTGAACTGATAATCTGATTGAATGTTTTTTTGCTCCTAAAAAAAAAGTTATTTACCCATATTTACAAGAAACTTGAAAACTTGTACAGAGAAGAAAACTAGTCAAAGGTGCCTAATTAGCTAATAAAGTTATTCTGGTAAAGTAATGTTTTAGTTAAATCTGGGATTATATAAAAAAATCAAGAACTTATCTGCAGAAAAAAAAACAGAAGGCATTGAGGGCAGGGGAATTGGGTTAGGAAGTTTGTGCTAACAACCTGTAACTATTAATTTTGATGGTTATAAAGTCAATGCTGCTTTATCACAGCTCATTTCCAATGTTTACAAATCCTCCAGGTACATTTTAGCCAGGGGATCTAATGTGCCAGTCCTCACATCTTCAGTTTGTGTCCTTAAAGATATGAATGAAAGATATGATATAAATTACTTGAACAATTACATTAATTGTTATTGTTATTAATTGTTATGAACAATTACATTAAAATTATACACAAATAAAGAAATTTGTGTAATTGAATGTGGAAGTTGTGAAATCCAATTGAATATCTCATGATAAGACAAAACTATTTAAAAAATTGAGCAAGCACGCATGTATTGGTATAACCTAACTTAAGAATTTTACGGCACTTAAATGGCGCTCCTGTTTAAGCCATTGTGTAGTTGTACAATACCATTTTTATACAACATTAACTTGTTGTTTTTTACAGAATCTGGACCACTCGGGTTTGTGACAGGTAACCTCCAGGTATCCAGTACATTTGGGTAGTGTCAAGTTGAACTCAATTTATAATGTCCTGGTTTGTTCTGAAAGTCAGTGACTTATCAGAGAGACACATTTCAGATACATTCTTAAAGTAGAAGAGGAGCTAAACCTGGGATATTGTCCATTAAAGGCAACAAAAATCTTTTTGAAAAAATAATTGTTACAGTGGTTATCTGCTCACCTGGCTGCTACTGTAAGTTTTAAAGGGTAGTCAAGGTAATAAATGGCACGTTACACTTCTTAATGATGATCTGCACCTGTTTACATTGTTTGGGATACTTCTCCTGATATGAGTTTCTCTAACACTTCATCCATAACGTGTTTTAAAAAGTCAATGGTCTTAAACAGATTTATATTAATAAAATATAAAATCATACTTTAATCATGACTCTAATAGCTGACAATACAAAACTGAATGGATACCCGTTTTAATAGTTTTTTTTTTACTAACTCAATGTTTGAAAAGTGAACATATAAGCATATCCCCCCCCCAAATGATCAGCTTCCTTTGTTGGATCTCCAGTGGTTCTGATATTCTATGTCGAATAAAACCGCCTTTAACGTCATTAAGGAAATTCTACTTTTTAAAGCAACTTACATTGCGTAGTTGTTGATCGTGATCCATGATACTGTATGTTCCAAACCTCAAAGAATACTAATAAGTTGTTTTTAAAAAGAAATACGATTATTTTAATCCACAAAAATAAATAAGATCAGAAAATGTGAACTCCTCAGGAAAAGTAGTCTATTTCGTTTGGCTACTGCTCAGGTTAATTCGTTCAAAATTGATAGCTCTAAAAGCATTACAAATAAAGCATGGGGCGCCTTCTTCCAAACATTTCTATAAAGAATTTTAATTTACCGAAGTAGCAACATCTAACATGACTTTGACATGGGCGCAGCCATTTTAATCCTAAACTCCACCTACTAGATGTCACGAGGTGTGTGCGTCTGTATGTCTGAGGTGTGCGTGTGCAGTATTAGGTCTTTGTCATTACATTAGTGCTGTGTTTTCAAAGATCTTAATCCACTTGTCAAAAGTGTAAGTGGCAGAATTCAGTGAGGTCACAATGATGTCATACCAGCACCTGGGTATGAGCTGGCCATCCTGATGACTGTTGAACGTGTTACAGATCTCAACAGTATAAGAGACTTAAAAGCCATTCAAACCATACAAAACAAAGTCTTGTCTTTCTGCTCATATGCTTATTATAAAGTGCCCTGCTAACATCTTCAGAACCCTGCTCAGTTTTCACATTTTGCTGCTTTAAACCTTGCGGTAAAGAAATGTTAAGTAGAAATGAATGTGCTGTGCTGTAAACACTGTACATTCAAAATATTCTCATTTAAATAAAAATACAAACAGAAGTAAGTAGAAGTGTACATGTAAAGGTCATATACACCAGTATAAATATCCTTTTTTCACCGTTTTACCTCACAAGATAACACAAGAAAGACAACAGAGCATGTTGTATCTGCAGACATGGGTCTTTGCCTCCTCTGGCTCATGTTACACCTGGGTCAGATGCTGATGCTTTGTTTGATCTTGAATCCTTAAGAAGTTGGAAAGGGGACAAGGAACTAATTCAGCTTCTGGAGAGACTTGGATCTCAGCACGTACCTGTACCTGAGAGGTGTCCACAAGGGACCATAATCATCTAACTAACCTCGGAGGAGGTTACAGTAATAAGGACTGAATTGTTCAGAATATTTGGCCTCTGATAGCAATTGATTACAAACTGTGTCATTGCGAGAGTTCTTGATAAATGTTAGGAATGAATTAAATATAGTAATTTACAGTCAATTAAATTACTCCAAACATGGATTCTAAATGGGAATCACGCATAAAGGGGAGATAATTAGTTTGCTCCCGGCGCAGCAGCTACTGCTAAATAATGCTATAAGCTGGTGTTTCAACTTGCTCCGTTGATCAAGCGGCACATGGTGGTACAGTAGCTACTGTAGCTGGTGCTGCAGGCTAGTCCTTGGGCAGAATTCTGTCGTTACGTATGGGCTCACTCTCTAAAAACACTTTGGGAAAAAGTTTAAATGCCAAAGTTCAGACAACAAGTGTGCCAGACACATAATTGTATTGTCAGTGAGCCAAGTTGGTTCAGCGGAGAGAAGTAGAGTTATGCACTTTATGTTATGAGGTGATGCACTTTTTAACGGGAGAAAATACAGTTGGTCAAGAAGTCACCAGGTGGAGTGGGTCCCCACACTCAGCAGGTTACTGGTTGGTCGGTCATCTTTTTGGATGATTGACCATGCCTTTTGACTTTTAGGATTATGTCCAGATGTATCTATTCCCTTCTGCTAGACATTCAGGCACCAACAGTGGACATCCATCTCCAGGTTATCTGTGGCTATGATCACAGAGCGGTGCTTTGCTGGGGTTTCACAACCCCTGTTTCTGAGGCTCATCAATAAGCATTGCTGCTGGAAATCTATCGCATGTGTTATGATTTATCACACCTACTGCCCTTAGGATTACTTAG